CAGGAGAAGGCCCGTGTTATCCCTCGTCTTCCTGTGCATAAGTGTGACTGCTTCAACTTTTAACAACCCATTGTTCCCAAGGGATTGTCACCCATAGCCTTCACGCATGGTAGGTGAGAATATCATTAAGTAAGGTATTTAATAGTTAGAGGGAAACCAGAGACAATTGACTTTCTGAAAGACAAATACATTTTGCCAGGACTGAAAAATGTACAGTCATGCAATTCTTTCACGTTGTACAATGCAATATCAGATAATACCCAGTGGGTGCTACCAGTTTCTTGGAAATCACCCACAGAGTACTTTATATGCATGCTGGATTGATATGCCTACTATACTCCAAGCACCATGACCACTAAATTTGTTTGAAGTGGCCATGGTGCATGTAGCCTGTATGTGTCTCATATCCTCCCCTGGTTGATCCTCCCTGTCCTATTACACCCCTGGCAAGGGGGAGTGACATTAGGCAAGGAGGGTCGCGGTGCTGGAAGAACTTGATTGACTTGGCAAAATGTTTAGATCAGGCAGACTTGACAGATAATTACCAGATTTTACTAATTACATGACGTAAAGTCATGATTTTATAAACGACATGGAGGCGAGTATTAGGCTTATCTCTTTCTTTTATTCCTCAGCAGTAAAGAAAGCTAAGGTGTTTATTTGTAGAAAAAACATGCATAAATACCCTCACAGGGTTAACATGACATCATTATCTCTTAACCAATAGGAACAGTCCACATCTGATATCCTCTCATGTAACCTCCTCCTCTTCATCTTTCCTGATGATGCCGAAGCTAACAAATCACCAGTAGCAATTAAAAACAAACAAAAAAAAAACAAACTCGCTATAAACCAAAACACAAAAAGGCTGGTAACTGAATTCTTGACTTTGAATCCTTCCATAAGCAACGAGGGATCTTCCGGAACTGATCCTCTTAAACTGCGGGATTAATCGCCGTCATCATTGGGTATCTTTAGATTTCAGGCTGGAAAGGACAAAGAAAAACAAATGGTAAAACGTGTCTTTGCCAACTATTTTCATCTTATTATTTTATTGAAAATTGAGCTGTTTATCTAATCAGTTATATGTAAACATGCAATCATTACTTGTTTGATATATTTACCAAAATAAACTATATAAATGATAACTCATTTTACTAAAGTACCTATTACGTACCTGGGCTGGGATACAAATTTGGTTGTATCTGATCTGGGTGGGCTCATACTCGCCTCCATGTCCTTTATAAAATCATGGCTTTACGTCATGTAATTAGTAAAATCTGGTAATTTTATTAAAGGACAAGGAGGCTCTTATTAGGCTAGTTTAAAGTTGTGAGATAACTATACTTGGCACATGTTCTGTAGGTCGAAAGTAATATTCCTTAAATGTCGATGCCCTTGACCAATCTGCTGTTCTCAGGATGTCTTCTAATTTACAACCCAAATTAAAAACCTTTGAAACCATGGCCCCTCTAGTAGATTGTGCACCATATACAGTTGTATCTATGTGGGCTAAGGTCATTATCCATTTCACCCATCGGGCGAGAGTTACCGTGGATACGGGATGGTGAGGTTGTTTGAAAGCCAAAAACAATTCTGGGTGCATCAGCTTCCTGAATTCCAGGGTCCATTTCTCGTATTCCTTTAAGCAGATCACTTGGCAGAGTTTACTGTTATGCGGGAATGCTGGATATGAAACTGAGGTAATTGATGACTTTGTACGTCTGGAGATGTTGAATGAAACTCCCATGGGGGTAAAGGAGCGTGCATCAACGTCCAGCACTCTTACGTCTGACACTCTCTTACAAGAGATCAGGCAGAGGAGCATGGCCAGTTTCGCTGACAGTTGTTTAAGTGTGAGTGCCTCATTGTGTGGCCAAGTTTCCAACAGTTGCAAAACTGAATTGGCGTCCCACAGAGAGACGTGTATCGGGGTTGTGGTGGACGAGCAAACCGAATTCCTCGAAGGAGACTGCATACCAACAGCTGCTGACCTGCCGGGGTCCCATCTAGTCCCCGGTGTCCTGCTGAGATGGCAGACCTGTAAACATTGATGGTGCAGTAGGCCAAACCTTGGTTGTACAGGTTGGTAAGGAAGCGCAACAGGTAATTTATAGAAGCACATACGGGATCCACCTGTTGTTCCATGCACCAACTACTCCATCCGTTCCAGGCATAGAGGTAGGAGCGTCTCGTTCCAGGTGCCCAAGCTCCTGCCAGTAATTCGATAGTTTCCTGTGGAACCTCTGGCATGATCCAGGGTCCCCTGAAAGCAGCCATGCTAAGAGCTTGAAGTGCCCCTGTACCAGCAGGGGGTGTGGTTTTCCCTCTGGGTCCGATAAAAGGTGTGAGATGTCTGGTAATAATCTTGGGAGGTCTATGGACATCTCCATGAGTGTTGGGAACCACGCTGAGCTGTCCAAAATGGGGTTATGAGGACCAATGACGTTTGAGCCCGCCTGAGATGCACCAGTGTTCGAGCTATGAGGGAGAACGGAGGAAATGCATACAATCGGCTGTGCGGCCATTGTTGGAGAAAAGGGTCCGCTGCTAGGGCGTCTGGATCCGGTCTCCAGCTGAAGAATGTTGTCAATTGGGAGTTCAAACGAGACGCAAATAGATCGATTTGCATTGGGCCCCAGAGTGTCTGAAGTTGTAAGAACACACTGCGGTCTAGTCGCCAGTCGCTGGCGTCTCGCAGATGCCTGGAGTACCAATCCGCCACTATGTTGGACATGCCCGGGATGTACTCCGCTTGTACCGAAATATTGCAGGCCAGGCAATGTTGCCAGAAATCTTTGGCCAAGTCCGCCAGGATCTTCGATTTTGTGCCACCGAGGTGGTTGATGTAGCAGACTGCTGATATATTGTGCATTCATAGGACAATCGAGCAGTTGGTTGCAGCTCCGAGGGCGAATGACCCCGCCATGAGTTCCAAACCGTTGATGTGTAACTCTTTCTCTGAGTGTGACCAGATGCCTCCGGTGGAGGTAGGCCAGCAGCGCGCTCCCCAACCATGTGTGCTCGCATCGGACTCTATGATAAAGTCCTGAGCAGTTCCAAAGATTGCTCTGCCTTTCCATGCTTCCATATGATGCAGCCACCAGGTGAGTTCCTGTTTGGCTGCGTGGTCGAGTGGCACGGAGTCAGAGTATGAGTGCCCCGAGCGTAGGTGTGTGGCTTTTAGTTGTTGCAGAGCCCTGTAATGTAGAGTGTCCCGGGAATATTGCCTGGATGGAGGCTGATAGGAGTCCGATTACTCTGGCTAGTTGTCGCAGAGTTAACACTGGTCTTGTCAGTGTCCTGCGGATCTCCTTTTTTATGCTCTTGACTTTCTCTGTTTGCAGACTGAGTGTCCCGGTTGTTGCGTCTATGTGGAATCCTAGGAATTCCATGTGTTGGGATGAGGAATCCCAAATTTTGTAGCAGGGTCAGTGCCCAGGATGGATGCTGTCGGAGTTGGCAGGCCTCGTGTGCAATGTTCAACATATCGTCCAGATATATGATCATTCGTATGCCTCTGCTGCGCAATAAAGCGACCACAGGCTTTAGTAGCTTGGTGAAGCACCAAGGGGCAGATGAGAGTCCGAAGGGGAGGCATCGGAATCTCCACGTCACTCCTTCCCATTGAAATTGGAGCAGGTGGCGACATTCTTCCGCTATAGGGATCGTGAGGTAAGCGTCTTGCAGGTCTAGTTTGACCATCAAGTCCCCCAACTTGAGCAGGTCTCGTAGACAGTAGATACCTTCCATTTTGAAATGGCGGTACCAGACAAATGCGTTTAGGGGTCACAAGTTGATGACTGAGCGGACTCTGCCTCCCTTCTTGGGTACAAGAAATAGATTGCTCATGAACCCCGGGAAGGGTAAGGGAACCTGAAATATTGCGCCTTTTTCTTGAAGTGAGAGAATCTCTTTGGTCAACAGGTTCTTGTCGCATGCAGAGAATGCTATTCGGTGTGGCCAGGCTGTTTGGACAGGGGGCTGTACAAACTCTATGCGGTACCCTAAGACAGTATTTAGGACCCAAAAGTCTGCTGTCAATTGTTGCCAGATCTCTATAAAGTGTAACAGTCTGCCCCCCACGATATGTATACCCAGAAAGGGGAAAGGTATTGCACTCACCATAAAGTCGTCGGCTGTATGAGGGGCCTCTGTTTCCTCGAGGTTGCCATGGTCTGCCTCTGACTGGAAAAAAGGGCGTGGTTGCTCTGTTTTCTGGTGGCTGAAATCTAGCCGCAGCGGTACCTCGGTATCCCCGGTATGAAGCAGACGGCCCCGTTGCCCACCAAAACCTCTGGGAGAACACTCTCTTTATGTTTGTCTGTGCCTTGTCTAGGGCCGTAAACATGCTTACGTAAGTGCTTAACTCCTTAACAAAATTGTCCCTGAATAGGAGATCTTTGGCTTGTGGTCCCGGTTCGGGGAGGGCCATGTTTACGAGCTTGGGCTCGATTTTCATAAGGATGGTTTCGCGCCGCTCGGTGGCTAGCGCGGCATTAGCGTTGCCGATGAGGCAAGTGGATCTCTGGGCCCAGCCTCTAATGGCTGACAAATCTAACGGTGTCCCCTCAGTTAAGGCCGCTTTCGACCAGCTCGAAGATTTTGGCACTAGGGCCTAGTGTATCCAGTACTTTATCCTGGCAATGGCGTAGGGAATAATCAAGTCCCTTCTTTGCTTTCCAGCCAGTTTTTCCCAGGAATTGTGCTACCTTGGGATCTATGTCTGGTGTGGCGCCGGCCAAATCGGGGACTGTTGGGCGTGGGCATTCTTCCCGCAGTTTATTCCTGGTGGCCTTATCCAAAGGCTTACAGATTCTGGCTGCTATGTAGTGTGCCAAATGCTCAGTTGGGAACCATTCTGCTGACTTAGGATTCTGTAATGTATCGGGGTCGGACAGAGGTTCACCCTGTGGATCCAAAATGGCGGATGAATCCGCGATATCATACTTTGGGTTATTTGGATTGCGTGGCGGACTATGGTCCGGGGAGGAGACCTCTCATTCGTTTGAGTCAATCTCGTCAGACTCATTCAAGACCTCCTCTACATCCGAACCAGAGTCGGAAGAGTCCGTAAGGGCTTTTGCCCTCTTCCATGTCCGCACTGCTTTTTCCCGGCGGGTGGCTCTCTTTTGTGGGGGCCCCACGACCTCAGTGGTGACAGGACGTACCCTGTCCATCAATTTCTTTTTGGAGGTAGGAATTTGCACATTGTGGGTTTTGCTTATGGCCTTCCGGCCTTCCCTGCGTACTGACCCATCTGCCGTGGCTCTAGCGCGGGGCATATTGGTGGTGGATGCCATGATGGCATTGGTAATGGAGTGAGAGAGGTTGTCAGACATAGCCCCCATTGCAGAATAAATAGCTTGGGTGACTGACCGTGACATGGTGGCGTCTAGGAGCGAGTGGAACTCCTCTGAGTCCAGCTGCTCTAGAGGGGCCACTGCATCCCCTTGTAGGGTTAGGGGTTCAGACATCGTGGCCCGGTGATGGGCTTTGGTGTCCTCGTAATCAATGGGGCCAGAGGCAGGGTGGTCACTAGGGGCCTGCATAGGGGGGTACTCAGTGGCAGTATAACTGTACTCACAGAGTCTGTCAGTAAATATTTCTTACAATTACACACTGCAGTAGCAGGGTAGGGGTTAATCAGCAGGAGACAAGGCAAAGACTGAACAAAAAGACTGCACTGTTAGCTTACCGAGTGTTCCCTCAGGAATGCCATCTTGGAGCACTGGCAAGCTGACAGGCAGACCTTTGAACCAATCAGCTCATGCCCTCTTGCTGGGCTGAGCGAGCTGGTGGGAAAAAAGAGCAGCAAAATTCTTTAAGATGGCTGCCGCGGGTCGTAGCTGGGAATCTCTCGCGGGTGATGGCGGCGGGGAAACCCTCTCAGGGAACAGTTTGGGCCATTCCCAGGGGTTTCCTCGCGCCTAGCGCCTGAGTGCCGCGGACGGAAGAACGGGTAATAAACTACCCGATGGGGAAACCAACAGCCGGTATACCTACCCTGGGGGTCGGGAACCGGCGGGGAAGCGTGGAGTGGCTTCCCCACGGAGGGAGCCCACAGGAGGGCTGAGTAGTGGGAAATATTAAAACAGACAGGAGTTATCATGCAGTGACAGTACACATAATGTAATTAACATAATCACACAAGCAAAATAAAGCAATAACAATGCAGATCAGTAGATTAAGGTGTTACTTAGCTGAGGCAGCAGCAAAGAAAGAGGAAGAGGAGGAGGTTACATGAGAGGATATCAGATGTGGACTGTTCCTATTGGTTAAGAGATAATGATGTAATGTTAACCCTGTGAGGGTATTTATGCATGTTTTTTCTACAAATAAACACCTTAGCTTTCTTTGCTGCTGAGGAATAAAAGAAAGAGATAAGCCTAATAGGAGCCTCCGTGTCCTTTAATAAAATTTTGACAATACACATTGCTCATTCATGATAATTAAAGGGAATTGTTACAAAGTTATGGTTTGATAGTAATTCACCCTTCCAGAACGACATAAGTCAATTCCGGAATGTTGTACCTTTGCTACCAAAGATGCAGAGAGGAAGGCATCTATTTTCATTTATAGCAGACATACCCTTTTGTTAACCCCCGGTAGGGCAAGATATTTAATAAGCTAGGAAGATGTTTCCATGTACGCCTGTGCCCAGATCCATGGGTTGCATTTCTTAATCCAGATTATCAAGAAACTAGAACTACAAACATGCAGAAACAAACTAATTTTTAGAGTCTCTGAAGTATGACATATGAGCTTAGCTAAATGTTGAAAATCATCTCCCCCATCGATGCCTACAGTGAAGCAAAAATCTGGCACATTTTAAAAAGTTATAGCAATGATAAATTAGATCTCTGAATAGTTCCTGAAAATGTGATACCCATGGATGGAAGCCCTTTCCTCATCAGGATCACAGATACATTTGTAACCATTTGAATTTTGTTAGAATTCTGTTTGGCATATTTTTTTCTACAAACATTCTATACAGAATAAAGATGAAATGTTATAATTCTGTATACCTATTGTGGATGGGAACATGTTCACACTCCTGAATGTTTATGTATGTTCTATTTTTCATGCATTTTAATTGTTATTGTTCATTGAGTTCACTGTAAGTTTCCAATATAGCAGATGAAAATATTTATAAGAAATATGCTGATGGAGAAAGCAATGTGAGAGATGAGCTCCCCTGTGCTTGGGCATTTACAGCAAGTTATGCACAGCAGAAGATCCCAAAATAGTGCAGGTTGGTTTATTCACTCCTGATACCTTACTAAGACCACCCGGTCAGTAAAAAAAAAAATTTAAAAAAATGAACACTCCTGGACTTTAAATAGTAATGACTACACAAACCCAAGATGGTACCGTCAGACCAGGCAACTCTCTGCTGCCTCCTGCTCCGGACGTAGAGACGAAACCACAATAACTGGGGCAAATCCGGTCCCTGCAACTGACCACCCTAATTGAGGATTTCCATAACATTGCTGCCAGTATAAGAAAAGATATATAGGCAATTGTTGAAAGAACAGTCCACTTGGAAGAAAAAGCAGAATAAATCATAGTTGTCCATAATTCACAAACTGATGCATTCACAGTTATTGAAGCAAAGATGGCACATATGGAACTTAAGATAGGAGCAGACGTATTAATATCCATCTTCCAGACCCTACTACATTTGGTCTTTAGCTTCTTCAAATGAACTGATTCTAGACAGAAACCACCGCTTGGTAAAACCAAGACCGGTCACTGCATCCATACCCTGTGACATTTTTACATCACTAAAGAGCAACTTATGAGAGCAGCTAAAACATCACCCGTACTTTCTGAACAGTACAAGGGCATACCACTAATCACCAATCTGTACTCAGAGGAGGGGCACCACACCCTTATATAGGGGGACATCCCATTGCAGCGCGACACCCTCCAACCTTACTTGCACAACTAGAGAAAGAGTAATGCAAGGTATCTACGTGACATCACCTGCACCTACCCGCCCCACACAGCAAGTATACTTGCAACCACTAGCCATTTCGGAGCCCTCAGTGTCTATCACGTTATTATGTCATTTGCACTAATTGTGTTATAATATGTTGTAGATAACTCTGTATTTTGAGGACAAGATGCTTTGATAAAGGGCTATGCCCGAAACATTTGTTCACTTGTTCTTCAAATAAATATGTGAACCTACATGCGGTTTGCACTTTCCTCCTTTTTTCTATTGTGTGATTTTGAGTCATGGAGGTTATACCCACTGAGATACCCACTAAGATACCCACTGAGCAACAGTTGCCCACCATCACAATAGTTACTCCCTTCCAGAGTTTCGACAGGCACACCAATCCTGTCTTGGAATTCCTGTTCTTTGTATCCTGTTGTGATCCTAACAATGATATATATGTTTTGACTGTCTTCATATTAAGGTGGTCCTTTGCTTTGATTTATGTTTGTATTTTAAGTTACTTAGTGCATCCTCAACTCCTATAATGTGCGTATTATTGTTTTTGTCTGTACTAAAAAATTCAACTATGCAATATTGGTCTTACATGGGGCTCACTGGGCTGCTGGTCCTCTACATGTGTATAGTGCATAAATGGCATCCTGAGGGCTCCTCCTTTTCCTCTACCCTCCCCCGTATGGTACCTTAAATGCTGATTACCAGCTATCTGCCAAGCAAAACACATTAATGACCATTAAAATGTCCTTGAAAGTTTTTTTCAATGTTTAAGGCCTAATTTTGCTACACAAACAGTGAGCGGATCTCGAAGAAACTCTTGTCACAAACTATTAATTTACATGTTTCAAACCTCACTCTAGGTTGGGTTATTCAGAGTGAGCAACTCCTGCCAGATTCCTTTGTTTCACGCCTATGGACACAACTCCACCCTAAACTATATCTCTCTTGATATGGCATATACTAAAAAAACAAACTAAAGCTAGGAGGGAAGATGCTGCATTTTGCTCCTTTATCTTTCCTTGCAGTGATATGTCCTACCTTTTCCCCCTTTTATTATTTTATTATTATTTTATTATTTATATAGTGCCAACAAATTCCGTAGCACTGTACGATGTACTGTTGGTATGAAAAAACTATAACCCATCTAGCACAGATAATGCATAGAAAGAGATATTCTCCTATTTCAGGCCGAAATACTCACTAGAACCCAATTATGTTTTTCAGTATCTCAAATAAGAATGTTATTATTAAAATATGTTTCAATAGTGCCAAAAGATCAGCCAGACACCCTCTCTGCGTACCAACAACTTCTGTCAATGAGTTAGTTGGTTCCCACACAACCTAAACTATTCACAAAGTTTTATGCATTGATACAGGGGGTCTCTCCCACCGAAAACAGTCCTATATGCTGAAATGGGAAAAGGGGGGTGGCAGGGTTCTCACAACTTGGGAATGTGTTATGGCAACCAGTGCATTGAAAAATGTTACAATTACCTCTACACCCTTTGCAAACTAATGTATCAGTGGTACCTACCACTGGATAGTATTCATGAAATATTCCCTTATCCTCTCCAGTATTTTAGAGACCTAATTTAGAACAAGGTACCAGACTAGATGGGCTGAATGGTTTTTATCTGCCATCACATTCTATGTTTCTATGATGCACATATGGTGGTGCTATACAAAACTCTGGTCACCAGTATTTAATGTTATTCGCCACTTATGCTTCTTGGAGACTTCCCTGTGGCTACACATAGATGAAACAGTCCCCCTGCGGGATAGAGCATTAGTTACTCATATTATTTTGTCAGCTAGGCATTTAATTGGCTCTAATTGGAAGAGGAATAAGAGCCCCACTATTAGAGAGATACCAGAAAAATAAACATAAATGTTATTTATGAAGATATTTATGAAGATATGGCATTACCCTCAGGCAATGCAGCCAGTAAAATCGTGTATGGGCTCCTTGGTTGTCCTTTTTACTCAAAAAAGATCTTACACAACTGAAGGAACTTCAAGGAGTACTTCAAACATGGCTTGGCAGCCTCTTAGCAATCCTATGAATTGGTCTCTCCAACCTGATGTGTGAGTTCTAGAACCCATTAGACATATACTTGTATAAATGGAAGGCTTTTCCAAGCATCCCCTACCCTCTCAGTAAAGTAATACTTCTTGATATTATTTTAAAATCATCATCTCTCTAATTTAAGACTATGTCCTCTTGTTGTGGTAGTTTTTCATCTTTTAAATATAGTCTCCTCCTTTACCGTGTTGATTCCCTTTATGTAATAGAAACATAGAAACATAGAAACATAGAATGTGACGGCAGATAAGAACCATTCGGCCCATCTAGTCTGCCCAATTTTCTAAATACTTTCATTAGTCCCTAGCCCTATCTTATAGTTAGGATAGCCTTATGCCTATCCCACGCATTCTTAAACTCCTTTACTGTGTTAACCTCTACCACTTCAGCAGGAAGGTTATTCCATGCATCCACTACCCTCTCAGTAAAGTAATACTTCCTGATATTATTTTTAAACCTTTGTCCCTCTAATTTAAGACTATGTCCTCTTGTTGTGGTAGTTTTTCTTCTTTTAAATATAGTCTCCTCCTTTACTGTGTTGATTCCCTTTATGTATTTAAATGTTTCTATCATATCCCCCCTGTCTCGTCTTTCCTCCAAGCTATACATGTTAAGATCCTTTAACCTTTCCTGGTAAGTTTTATCCCGCAATCCATGAACCAGTTTAGTAGCCCTTCTCTGAACCCTCTCTAAGGTATCAATATCCTTCTGAAGATACGGTCTCCAGTACTGTGTACAATACTCCAAGTGAGGTCTCACCAGTGTTCTGTACAATGGCATGAGCACTTCCCTCTTTCTACTGCTAATACCTCTCCCTATACAACCAAGCATTCTGCTAGCATTTCCTGCTGCTCTATTACATTGTCTGCCTACCTTTAAGTCATCAGAAATAATCACCCCTAAATCTCTTTCCTCATATGTTGAGGTTAGAACTCTATCAAATATTCTGTACTCTGCCCTTGGGTTTTTACGTCCAAGATGCATTATCTTGCACTTATCCACATTAAATGTCAGTTGCCACAATTCTGACCATTTTTCTAGTTTACCTAAATCATTTGTCATTTGGCTTATCCCTCCTGGAACATCAACCCTGTTACATATCTTAGTATCATCAGCAAAAAGACATACCTTACCATCAAGACCTTCTGCAATATCACTAATAAAAATATTAAAGAGAATGGGTCCAAGTACAGATCCCTGAGGTACCCCACTGGTGACAAGTCCAAGCTTCGAATATATTCCATTAACTACAACCCTCTGTTGCCTGTCACTCAGCCACTGCCTTACCCATTCAACAATATTGGAATCCAAACTTAAAGATTGCAGTTTATTGATAAGCCTTCTATGTGCAACAGTGTGAAAAGCCTTACTGAAATCTAGGTAAGCAATGTCTACTGCACCACCCTGATCTATAATTTTAGTTACCCAATCAAAAAAATCAATAAGATTAGTTTGGCATGATCTCCCTGAAGTAAATCCATGTTGTCTCTGATCTTGAAATCCATGTGTTTTTAGATGTTCACAATCCTATCCTTTAACATGGTTTCAATCACTTTCCCCACTACTGAAGTAAGGCTTACTGGCCTATAGTTGCCCGACTCCTCCCTATTACCTTTCTTGTAAATGGGCACAACATTCGCTAACTTCCAATCTTCTGGGACTACTCCTGTTAACAATGATTGGTTAAATAAATCTGTTAATGGTTTTGCTAGTACACCACTAAGCTCTTTTAATAGCTTTGGGTGTATTCCATCAGGTCCCATTGACTTAATTGTCTTTACTTTTGACAGTTGAAATAGAGCCTCTTCCTCTGTAAACTCACGTGTAATAAATGACTCATTTATCCTTTTTCTAGTAATAAAATGTTACTATGTTACTATCATATCCAGCCCCCCCTCTCCTCCCCCCCATCTCATCTTTCCTCCAAGATATACATGTTAAGATCCTTTAACCTATCCTGGTAAATTTTACCCTGCAATCCATGAACCAGTTGTGTAACCCTTCTCTGAACTCTCTCCAAAGTATTAATATCCTTCTGGAGATACGGTCTTCAGTACTGAGTACAATACTCCAATTGAGGACTCATTTACATAATGTTCTATGTATAATATGGGAGCATTGACAAAAGAAAATCTAGTTTTGCACCCCTTCCCTGTCACAGGTGCTTCATTGCAGGCCTTATTTAAAGCTTGAACTGCAGGTAGCCTCTGAGGATGGATGTCCCAGATAAGTGGGTAAAGAGTCATCATTACTTTGGCGTAGAGTAGGAGCTGACAAAATGGGGTGCATTGACATTGTGGTAGGTTTATGAAATCTATGTACATACAGTCAGGTCCATAAATATTGGGACATCGACACAATTCTAATCTTTTTGGCTCTATACACCAACACAATGGGTTTGAAATTAAACAAACAAGATGTGCTTTAACTGCAGACTTTCAGCTTTAATTTGAGGGTATTTACATCCAAATCAGGTGAACCGTGTAGGAATTACAACAGTTTGTATATGTGCCTCCCACTTTTTAAGGGACCAAAAGTAATGGGACAGATTAACAGTCATAAATCAAACTTTCACTTTTTAATACATGGTTGCAAATCCTTTGCAGTCAATTACAGCCTTAAGTCTGGATCGCATAGACATCACCAGATGCTGGGTTTCATCCCTGGTGATGCTCTGCCATGCCTCTACTGCAACTGTCTTCAGTTCCTGCTTGTTCTTGGGGCATTTTCCCTTCAGTTTTGTCTTCATCAAGTGAAATGCATGCTCAATCGGATTCAGGTCAGGTGATTGACTTGGCCATTGCATAACATTCCACTTCTTTCCCTTAAAAAACTCTTTGGTTGCTTTTTCAGTATGCTTTGGGTCATTGTCCATCTGCACTGTGAAGCGCCGTCCAATGAGTTCTGAAGCATTTGGCTAAATATGTGCAGATAATATTCCTCGAAACACTTCAGAACTCATCCTGCTGCTTTTGTCAGCAGTCACATCATCAATAAATACAAGAGACCCAGTTCCATTGGCAGCCATACATGCCCACGCCATGACATTACCACCACCATGCTTCACTGATGAGGTGGTATGCTTTGGATCATGAGTAGTGATGTACCGAACGGTTCGCTGGCGAACGGTTCCTGGCGAACATAGCATGTTGGCGTTCGCCACGGTGGGCGAACATATGCGCGGTTCGACCCGCCCCCTATTCGTCATCATTGAGTAAACTTTGACCCTGTACCTCACAGTCAGCAGACACATTCCAGCCAATTAGCAGCACAGCCTCCCTAGCAGACCCTCCCACCTCCTGGAAGCATCCATTTTAGATTCATTCTCAAGCTGCATGCTTAGTAAGAGGAGGGAAAGTGTAGCTGCTGTTCATTAGATAGGGAAAAGCATAGCTAGGTTAGGGTTAGGGTATGCTTTTTTTTAATTTTATTTTTCTATGTAATGTAAATGCACTTAGTTGTCTGCCACTGCTGCCAGCTTCTGTGTCAGGCTCACAGTGCATACTGTGCCCATTTCCCCAGTCAGTGCCACCACTTACATCTGGTGTCACAATAGCTTGGATTTAAAAACAAAAAACTTTTTTCACTGTTATAGATTGAATAGCAGTCAGTTGTCTGCCACTGCTGCCAGCTTCTGTGTCAGCCTCACAGTGCATACTGTGCCCATTTCCCCAGTCAGTGCCACCAATTACATCTGGTGTCACAATAGCTTGGATTTAAAAACAAAAAACTTTTTTCACTATTATAGATTGAATAGCAGTCAGATTGAATAGCAGTCAGTGTCCTTAAAGCGGGTGTGTTACGCTAACAGTGGATACGGTGACCAGTGCCACCACTTAGATCTGGTGACACATTAGCTTGGATTTAAAAACAAAAAACTTTTTTCACTGTTATAGATTGAATAG